ACCCCTGCCATCACATAGTCTCACCCACACAACCACAGCCACACACACCATCACTCACACACAATCACACTTGCACATGTGTCTCCCCACCCGTTCCTCACCATAGTCCACTCCTGGCTCACAGGCCTTGTCCACCCGGTCATCTGGGGTGACCTGGTCCTCTGAATGGTGCATGAAGCAGTTCTCTGCGGGGTGGGTGAGCAGGGGACATGATCTAAGCTTCCCATCCAGGCCCCACCACCCATGGGTGTGGTCAGCCCTAGGCCCATCCCTTTTGGTGTCCCTTGGGTGTGGGCTTTTGGGGCCCCTTGCATCACTGCCATGGAAGGAGTGTGTGTGTGAGAGGGTGGGGTATTAAGTGGGCATGGACTTCCACTTCCTAGCTCCTGTGCACCCACCCTCAGCACAGCGACATATTTCATTGTGGCAGAGTTTGCTCAGCAATCCATCTTCCTTCTCCGGGTGGTAGAACTGGGTACAAGTCTCATCTGTGGGCAGAGGGAGTGGGAGGGATCAGAGAACTAAAGCCTCCACCCAAGACCATGCCTGTGGGGCTCAGGTTCCCAACTCCAGTCCCTCAGACCTGGGGATGCAAGGTCCTGAACCCTGGGACTCCCAGGTCCCCAATCACCAAGCCCTGGGACCCCCATCTTATAGAACCTTGGGAGCCTCAGACCCCAGGCCCGAGGCTGGCTGCTCACCCAGGTTGTAATAGGAGTACACCTTGACTGCCCCTGGCTGGATGAGTCCCACATTAAAGAACTGGTGAACTTTGAAGGATATACAGTCCTCTTGATCGTGTGAGATCTGGGAAAAGGAGGAGGTGAGTCAGTGGGAGGGAGTCCAGCATAAGGAGAAACAGGGGACCAAGAGGGATCTGTGTGGAGAGGATGTCTGTGGTGAGGGAGGGGGAGTGAGAAGTGGCAAAGATTAATGAGCAGGCCCACAAATCTATTTTCTTTTTCTCCAAGGCTTATGGTTAGATTACACTTCTCAGCCTCCCTTTCCATTTGGTTTGACCATGAAATTGAATTCTGGCCAACAGACTGCTATCTGTGCCCCTAAAAACATCCCATGGTTATCAATACTGCACTGCATATTTGAAAGCTGGTAATATAGTAAATCTTAAAAGTTATCACCACACACACACACACACACACACACACACACACACACGTTAACACTATGAGGTGGTACATGTGCTAACTAACCTTACTGTGGTCATCATTTTCCAATATACATATATCCAACCATTGCATTGTATATCTTAAACGTACACAGTGTTATATGCCAATTATATCTCAATAAATCTGGGAACGTAAAAGAGAAAGAAAAAAAGAAAGGAAGAAAGACAGACATGTATGTATATGTGACAGACATGCATTAGTATATTTGGAGGAAATTGCTGACAATTAATGAACCTGGGTAAAGAGTATATGGAACTTTTTATACTATTCTACAATTGCTCTGTAAGGTTAGAATTACATAATAAATTAAAAGTACAAAAATTGAAAAGATTAAAAAAAAATCCATCTCATGTACAATCAATCCTCTTTTCTTCTAGAAGGAATGGATCAAGCAGAGGACTCTAAGACCAATAGAGAAGGAAAAGGTCAGCGACATATGGGTCAAGGTCCCAATGGAAGCCTTACGTCATCCAGGTAGATGATGAGGGTGTTCTTGTTGGAGGAGGGCTTGTTTTCCAACTCGAACTTTGAGATGTACGTGTCAGTGCCACTGGCCAGCTGGAGAAGGGAAGAGCTTGTGAAAATCCCTTCCTTCCCTCAGCCTCTGCCAGGCCCCAGGCTCCTTCCCACCAATCCTATCCCCTGAGCCCAGGATTTTCACACCTGCTTGAGGTCAGCAGTGTCAGGAGCAAAGCCAGTCATCATGGATATATCCAGGATGGACATAGTGGCATCGTGGTCTCCCAGGTACCTGGATGGGGCAGGGAGAGAGGGTTAGCCCTAGGGGTCAGTGCCTGGACAAGGGAATCTGATCAGTGAGTGAGGCTTCTGGTTCCCACACAGCAGCATAGAGGATGCCAGATCTTAGGAAACACTCCCCCAAGGGGAATAAAGGAAAGGTATGTAATGGTTAAGGCAACTATCTCCTCAGCCTCTGAAGCCCAACTACATGGGTTCACATCCCAGCTCTATGTGACATTGGATGAGTCACTTCACCTCTTCGGGCCCCAGTTCTTCTAGGAAACGAAGACAAGAGTACAGGCAGGTCTCACTTTGCATGATTCCATTATCACGGTCTAGTTCAATAACACCAGCCCCTCAGCAACACGGTTTAAATCCAGTACCACAATAGATTAATGAGCAAACGCCTAAAGGACAAATCTAGTTGCCAGCTCTTCAGTCCACCCATCACTATGTAAACAAGTGAGCATTACAATCAATGACCAATCACATCACTTATTTCAAAGTCTGTCAGTGGTGGGTCACTGAGCACCCGTCATTCAAGCCACGTGTGTGATTGTGTTGCTTCCTTCTCTCTCAGTAAAAAACCATGTGAGATTTTACCAAAATGGATCATTGAAAGGGAATGGCCAAAAATGAAAGTGCAGCACAGAAATGAGAGTGGTAACACTGGTAGTGAAATTTCAGCAGCACCTAAACGGAGTCAGAGAAGAAACAGCAGATGGTGGAATGTGGACCTGCTGCCCTTGGAGAGACCATCATGGGGGCAGAGGCACTTAGTGAAGGCAGGGTGTTTTTTCAAAATGCTGACACGCCGAGCTCAAAAGGTTCGCCATCACTGGCTTTGGATAAGTGCTTCACAAAAAATCAAAACCAACTTTAATCTCAATGTTCTGACCTTTTAAATTACCGTGCACTAAACAAATACCCATCTCACTACACTTTTCCTTACTCTATATTTTTTAAACTGTCAGTACAAGAGTATTTGATGTTGTGATAAAAACATAATGTAAGCCCGGCCGGTGTTACTCAGTGGTGGAGCTTCCCTCTATGAACCAGGAGGTCAAAGGTCTATTCCTGGTCAGGGCATATGCCCCAGTGGGGGCTCTATCCCAGTAGGGGGCGTGCAGGAGGCAGCCAATCAATGATTCTCATCATTGATGTTTCTTTTCTTTTTTAAAATTAATTTCCTTTAATGTATTGTTTAATTTACTGTGTTTTTTTTAATTGATTTTTTACAGAGAGGAAGGGAGAGAGATAGAGAGTTAGAAACATCAATGAGAGAGAC